ATGCTACGTTTGCTGAGATCACTAACCTGAAGCTCCTCTAGTGTAGATTGGACTCAAATTATGGAGAAATCTGATTGTGATGTTAATGTAATACCTGGAAGATCAAATCTCCATGTCCTCTTCACGGGTATCATGGTTTTCCAAGATAAACACTTTTTATAACTCTCTGGAGAGATTTCCAAGCTGTTGTTCAAACCAAACCAGGAAGATGCTTTCTAGCAATCACTGGTGCACCCAAAGGTCTCTGTCCCCTGCAGTGCCATGGAGTTCATTCCACTCTGTTTCCCTCATATCTTTCTTTAAAGACTAAACGATCCTTTAAAGCGCCTTTAAACAGGTCTCTTCCAGGAGGCTATGGAAAGCTATGAGTTTGTGGACAGGCTTTTCCTCTGACTGAAGATGTTTTCCGAAGAGGAGCTGGTTTCTCACTACCCCTCACCTCCATTGCAACGTCTCCCATTCAAACCAGAAAAGCCAGGCACCAGCGGTCTCATGGCGGTGTCCCGGCTGTGACTCCAGATGGGGCCATCCCCAAGGCTTTGGGAGGGCAGGAGGCCTTTGGAGCTAAAGTGTGAGTGCAATTGCCAGCTGAGCATCATAGATGCCCTGAGGTGAAACCATGAGGCTGTTTCCCGGGCTAGAGCATGGCCACCAGCAGGGAAATCAGGTGGGGCCTGAGGCATGGCTGGGCAGGGGGTGCGTCTCCCGTTCCCACCAGCACAGTCCACAACTTGAGCTGTTGCTTAGCCCAGCCCGGGAGTCAGGATTTGAAGTGCCTGACAGCAGCCCCTCTCCATAGCGCATCCTCTGCTGCTCCTGAAAAAGCCGCTGTAACGCCATGGGTCGGAAGGATTTGTCCTCTTCCATGCCAGCCCTGGCTTGTAGAGGGGCCGGGAGGCTGCGGCGCAGCGCGGGAGGCAGCTGGGAGTGTGCTGCAGCTGGGAGGAGGGTGGAGGAATGTGGAGGCCCTTTCCAAGTGCCTCGGCCCATCAGGAACTTGGCCTGAATTTTCTTCCCCCTCCTGCCTCTCCTATCTGAGCACTTCACGGGGGCTGCGGGCAGCGATGGGCTCTCCCAGCACGTAGCCTGATACTCCTCAGAGAGCTTGCATGGATTATTTGCTGCTCCTTCAGATCAGCTGTACTAGGAAGGAACAAGAGGCAGGTTGGGGATGCCAGAAGGTGCTAAGCTCTGCTTGCCTGGAGGGCTCCAGGGAGGCAGGAGGCGTGGGATCTGGCTGGATCTGGGATAAACCTGTGCCCTTTTGCCCCTTGGGCATCCCTACCCAGTGCTCTGCACAAGAAGAGGCTCTGCTTGCACGGGGCAGCGGCTGGGCGCTGCTGGGCCAGGGAAGCAGGAGAGTGCCTTGGCCAGGGTATCACCAGGGGTGCTGAGGGTGGGGGTTCCCGGTGGGCAAGGGCTGGCTGCAAAGGCCTTGGTGATGAACATGTGTCGTTCCCTCTTTGGAAGAAGAAGTTGGGACTTTTTGCATGTTTGTCATGACCATCTGATGAGGCTGCAGCCCCTGGCCCAGGTGCAGCTGCGGGTTTGGGTGTGCTGGGTGTTTATAGTGCTTCTATTGCTTTTGAAGATAAGGGCATGTTAGTATTTTATTGCCTCCTTTCTTCATCTGGGGCACCATCCAGAGCAAGAAGAGAGGGGAAGGTTTTGTTTCCTTATGACGGGGGATTAGTCATTGCAGCCTGGCGCTCCAGTGAGGGGCTGCAAGGCTCCCTGCTCCACCATGCCATCCTGCAAGGCAAGGTCTCCAGCCCGAGGGCTCGGAGGAGGGAGCCGTTTCCCACCCAGCCTTCTTCCCACCCCTCCTCTGCTTTCGCCCTGGCTGCCCGTCCCCCTCGCATCCCGCTCCTGTCCTGATCTGGGACCGTGCTCCTCCATGGCTTTCCTGCGGGAAAACCCGGAGCACCCTCAGCTTTTCTTGCTGAGCTGGTGAGGGGCAAGAGGAGACCTGAGGGGCTTGCTCTGCACCACGCTGGCTGGCTCAGCTCCATCGCTTCACTCACGCTTGCTGTCGGCGGAGCTGGCTCCCGGGGCAGTCTGGGCTCCTGTCCTCTCTGGCCCCAGGCTGGGCCGCATCCAGTCTGCCCTTGAGGACCTGGCTTATTGATAACGGGGAACGTGGCTATTGCGCGAGGCAGAGATAACCACTGCCACCGCATTTGTGCACTCAGTGTCCTTCCCTTCCCCGTCCTCCACTCCTGCTGGTAACGAAGTGGAAAATCCTTTTCAACCTGCCTTGCCCTGCAGCCAAGTTTGACATCTTTGGGTGCGTTCAAGTTAAAGGCTGGGGAAGCTGGAGGGGAGAAACCTTCCCCTCCCTGAGCCCACCCATGCTTAATGCAGGGGCTCCCCCTTGGCAGGGCCAGAGGCACGGGGGGGCTGGGGAAAGGCTCGCCCCTTTTTCAGTGTGGTGCTCGTCAGCTTCTCTCCTGCTGTCCCGGCAGCTGAAGCCAGCGTGCTGCACCCACAGAACGGGAGTCTGGCATTGCATGGGTGAGGAAGAAACCTGAGGGGCTGTTGGGGAGGTTGGGGCCCCTTGCAGTGCCTCTGCCCTGCGCTCGTCTGTCCAAACCATGTTTGTTTCTGTACCCGAGCTCCTCGCTCTGCCTGTCCTTGTCTGTGCCAGCTGCCTCTCTCCTTCGGGGGGAAGCCGTGCAAAAGCTGACTCCTCTAAAACCACAAATCTTCCCTTCTGCTGCTTGAATTAAAATGTTAATAAACCCAGCAGCAAACTCTGAACCGAGCGTTTCAAATACCCCTTTGTTTAATTAGCGGAGCCCCTGCACCCAGACACAGGCAGCGCTGTCTGGCCCCGCAGCCTGGGGTGGGAGGTGAGGGGCGAGGACGGCGCCCAGGAATTCCTCCTCTTTGGAGGCACGACCTCTCGTACCAACTATTTTCTCGCCTCCTCTCTGTGTCAGCTGCCCAGAAACAAAACATTCACGGCTGAAAGACTTAAGTGAAGTCATGGCATCTCCTGAGGGGCTTCAGCCAGCAGGCTAAGCCCCTTGCATGCTATCCATCCTCTGCACCCAGGGCTCTCTTATCCCCAGGACAGCAATAAGTAACTCAGCCGGCCCAGGGCTGAGGTGGTGCTTTGTCCCTTGGCCATGGAAAGGGGGTGACTGGCCTTTGCCTTGAAATCCACCCCGGTCCCCTCCAGCGAGTGTCACCCTGGGGATGGGTCCCCTGGTGGCCCCTTGCTCAGCGAGGAAGGGAGAAAGTGTGACTTGCCATTATCAGGAGTGTCTTAACACCATGGCAAACATGATTTCACTGGTGCAAGGGTAATGGTGGTGACATCTGGGTGGGGAACATGGTCCCCTCCTCTCTGGGACCTAATCTAAATTGCTTTATGAGGGGCCAGCAGGTAGACCAAACCCTCCTGCTCCCTGGGGGACAGGAAGCCAGGGCATGGGGTCCCCGGGTGGCCCTGTGCTGTGGCACGGCAGCGCAGGGCTTATCTCGACCCTGGCGGTGGGATGTCAGAGGGGGCATGGTGGTTAAAATGTACTTGCTCCTCAGCGGGCTGCGGGGCTGGGCTGCCTGCACCTCCTCTCCTCCTGCCATGCCCTGGCACGCGCCCAGCATCCCCAAGTGCCACCGGCAGCCTGTGTGAGCTGGCATGCTGCTGCTACTGTGCAGGGCTGCAACCACTCAGCGTGTCCTGCCACTGCCAAAGGGTTGTGTGGAGCAGTCTTGGCCCCTGCCTGCCCATCCCTTGTGGCTTACCAGTGTCTCACTGGTGGCGTTTTTCCTCCCAAAACAGCCCCTGCAAGGATCCCCGGGCTCAGGACCCATCTGCAAGAACCCTCTGCAAGAATCCTCTGCAGTTGTATTGAGGTGCTCAGCCTCTGCTGTGGCCAACAGCTGCCTTGGGTGCTCGGGACTGTGTTGCCTCCTGGGTGCCAGTGGTCACAGCATCCTGGGATGGAGATGCGGTGATGCTAGGCCTCTCCCCACTGCCTGGGGACCTTGACGTGCCACATGCACCTGGGGACAGCAAATCCCCCCATGGGCACCTCGGTCCCAGTGATACCTGCACCCTTAGAAGCGAGCAGGGCTGGGGGGGTGTTGCCTGTACCCGCGGAGCTGCACTTGCCCTGCTGGCATCCTCGCAGTGGTGGCACATGGCAACCTTCCAATGCGGTGCCCAGGAACAAACTGTGCAGGGGAGTGACTCCCCGTTCCCCCCACCCCAGACAGTGCTCCTGCCTGCTTGGGCTCCTGGGTGGCAAAGTCACGGCGGGGGGGGCCCCCCCGCCCCACGGATCCCGAC